AACAACAACAACAATTTTTTTTTAAAAAAAATCTAAAATAAAGCAAAAACTTTAGGGGATTTACATCCATTCAAGGATATCATCAATATCAACAACAACGTCAAGAAAGGGAAAATAACAACAATAATATAAACATTAAAGACCAAATTCATATCAATATAATCATTGGGGTGTGTGGAAGTTCGCATTGGGACAAAAAATAGTTAGGGTTTAGGATTTATATACAAAATGAGTGAAATCACTTATATTTGGTACCCATTATGGAACGGTTGGATTGTTACTGATAATCACTGCGAAGATTTATAGCAAAAACGAAGGATGACAATGGTGATTTCGACGGCCGATGACGCAGAGAAGACGATGAAGAAGTTGAGGTGATGAAACGATGAGACGATGAGATGATTTTACAAGTATGGAATATAGGATTTTTGCAGGATTATTTCCGCTTTGCCTGGTGGTGTTCCTATATTTTCAGATTCTGTGAGTTTGAATGGCAAGAGACATTCAAAAAAATTTAGCAGGGGTGTTTTGGACAAAAAATTAGGTATGGGACTTATTGGAATAGTCAAAAACAATTTTGGTTAGATGGAATAAAACACTTAGGAATAGGATTTATCAAAAAATTGCCCTATTAAAAATCATGTCTCTATAATAATTGCTATATAAGAAGATATAATGAGATGAATTTGTTGTATTTACACATTTTATAAAATTTAGCTTAGAGAATATTTTAAAACTTTAAAGTATACTTATACAGTTTTTGAAACATTTTTATAAATTTAATCAATATTTATTTTAAATGAATAGTTTATATATTGATAAACTTCTACAAATATGGTAGGAGTTGGTTTGGTTATTAGTTTGTCTTATAACAAAACCAATCCAATCCAATCCAAAATTCTATTGTGAGAGCTTGTTTGGGTACACTAAAATAGTATATTTATTATCTTTTTATCTTTTTTTAATCATATCATCTTTTTTTTTTTTGCATATTTTTTTTTATAAAAAATAAAAAAGTACACTTATTTAGATTATCCTAAGACCTCATCAACTATTAGTAAATATCATTTTATCTCTCTCATTTATGAATTCTTACATATTGACCCCTTTAATTATGAAAATCATACAAATACACTCATTTGGAAGATGGTCTAAAGGGGATTTGGAGAGGATGAAAGTGATAGGTTTTTATAATTTACGGAGTCTAAATGAAACGGTTCATATATGACTAAGTAAAGTGATATTTGTTGATAATTAGGGGTCTCGGTGTAATGGATGTAAAATCAGCCTGGCCCGTCAGGCGTCAAGCTCCTACCAAAATCGGTCTGGGCCAATTTCCAAAAATATAGGCCCAAACTTCGAGTCGAGCCTCGGTTCTGGATTTGGACCAAGCTTGACTTTATATATATATATATATATATATATTTCACTAAAATAGCCTGCATGTGATGTTAGATGTCGGGCAGGTCAGGCCTCAGGTCAGGCCTAGATCAATCCTGTCGGGCTGGGTCAAGGCTAAACATACTTGACCTAGGCCCGGACCAAGGGGTCTTGGTCCAAGTTGGGCCTCTGGCCTAGTCAAACGGAGATCAAGTCGAACACGGAAGGGCCTCAGGCCCGCGAGCCAATTTTACATCCCTAGGTGCAGTTAACCAAAAAAATAAGAATAAATATAATACTCCCTCTGTTGCACAATAATAGCCCCGTTTGAAGATTCTAACTTTTTAATAGGAAATGTAATTATTATTTTGAAGTCAAGTAAAATATATTAATTTACCATATTGCCCATTTTATTCTCATTATTAAATATTTTTATAATTATTTTTAAAGGATAGTTTTGGAATTCTCTAGAGTTTTATGTTTTGACTTTTCAAAAGAGGGCTGCTATTAGCATATATCTTAATTCTTTGGACCTGCTATTTCTTTGAAACCCCACTCTAAATCCTAAATTTCAATAACATTTCTTTTAACATCCCACTTAATACTAAATTTATCCATATTCATAATATCATGACACTCAAGTGCACACCTACCTAATTTTGCATACCCTCTCCATTATGATTGAAGATGATTCCCCTCCTTCCCTCTCATGTTGAAGGACAACGACGATGATTCGTTTCTTGTAGAAGAACGAAGACAACAAAAGTCCCTCTCTTTGATTTATTCAAAATCAATTAACAACGGTGTTTATTTTGTCAAAACCATTGCATCATTGCATCATTGTTGTAAAATTGAGCCAAAATCACACCAAGAGTTAATTACCTAGCCATCCGACCAGTTGTCTGGCCGATTGACTGCCCAAGGGTTAGTTTAGCACTGTGTTATAGAACATAAACAATTTTGTCATCACTGTATTGCGGAATAGAAATTATTTGTTTAACATTGTATTGTTGAAAATAAATGATTTTTTTCAGCACTGTGTAACGTAACTGTCAATTCACTATTTTCCATTCCAATTCAATGTAACAAACAAAATAACAGACATCTGTTTTAATTCAACCACCGATTTCCAATTCAAGATTTAGGATTGTGATGAAAAGAAATACGATTAGGGTTTAGAATGGTGATGAAAAGGAATACGTTAGATTTAGATGGGTGAGCAATACGTTTAAATGAGAGAGATGAATGTATAATACTATAGAGTTGTTTTTATTTAATGAGTAGACATTTCATTAAAAATTATTTTTTAATATAATTTTACTTCAGGATATAATTGTAATGTGTAAAAATAAAAAAAATAAAAAGTAAAAATTGAGGGATTGAAAGAAATTATATCCTTTTTCAAAATGGACAGATATTTTGGTACATCTAAAAAAGAAAGACCAACTAGGAGTATCTCCAATGGTTTGTCATTGGAGCTGCCATTGCTATAATATAACAGTTGTGTTAAAAAATAATGCTCCAATGGTTGAATATGGCAGTTGTCAAATTTGAGAAATGCCAAAGCTTGTGTCAAATTTGACACAAGCTTTGACAGCTGCCATTTGTGCCAACTCAGCAAAACCAATTGTTTTCCTCCCTCACTCCCTTCCTCCCTCCCTCTCCAGCAACTGTTTTACCATTTTTTTATAATAAGAATTGAACAAAAAAAAATTCAATAATTTTTTTTTTAATTTACCCAAAATCAACAGAGGTTTTTGTTTACAGAATCAACAAAATCAACAACAATCAATAAATCATGCTCAAACAAAGCAATAAATATCAACAAAATCAACAACAATCCATAAATCGAACAAGAAAAGTGACGAAAAGGTACCTGAACAAAAAACCGAAAGTGGAGAGAGCCGGAAAAGAGTGAGAGACAGAGGAGTCTCTTCGATCGTCTATCTCCTGATGAATCGTCGATCGCCGATCTAGTGGTCCTTACTTATGCCCATTCATTGATCTCACTCGCTTCCTCTCCTTCCTTCCTTCAATCGCTCCCTCTCTCTTTTCCCCAAAGGCCTCTGCGAAACCCCTAAACTCTACCCTCATTCGGTCTCCAATTCGAAGATACAGAGAAGATAGAGTCGGAAGAGAGTGAGAGACAAGAGTCTCTTCTATCGTCTATCTCCTGATGAACCGGTGATCGTCAATCTAGTGGTGATCTCACTCGCTCTCTCTCATTCCTTCCTTCCTTCAATCGCTCCCTCTCTCTCATCTCCAAACTCTACCCCCATTCGGTCTCCAATTCGAAGCTAAAGAGAAGAGAGATAGGGTTTGTAAGAGATATAGAGAGTGATAGAGTGATGGGGTGTAAAATCAGAATAAGGAAAAGGAAATGAGGGAGGGCAGTGTCTTGGAATGAGAGAGATATAGATAAGGTTTGATCACAGCTGTTAGATCTATATAATCCAACGGTAAAGGTACTCCCTTGGAATGTGTAACATGGGCCAACGACTCTATTTCAATCTCTATTTCAATTCAAAGTCATTTTAATATTTTGTGATGAAATTTTTTTTTATTTATTATTTTTGAGTATTTTTTACAATAGAATGTAATATTATTTTTGCAATGTATAATGTTGACTATTTTTTAGTATAATTTAAATTTTTCAATAAATTTGCAATGTATAATGTTGACTATTTTTTAGTATAATTTAAATTTTTCAATAAAGTATAGTGAAAAAATAAATATATTTTTTGAAATGAAAGCAATAAAAAGATAAAATACATGACATTAAATGAAGATAATTTTATTATAATAAAAAGACATTAAATATATTTTTTTTTTCCAAATTTTTAATTTTTTTAATTTTTTATATTTGCCTAGTTAAGAATAATATAAATATATAATTTTTTTTACAAATAGTTAAAAAAAGTCACACAGGACCAAAAAAAAATAAAAATAAAATAAAATTACAAAAAACCTATATCTAAACAACACCTACACATTTAAAAAGAAAATTAATTAAAATTTATTAAAATAACAAATAATCACTAAAGTATGATCACTATAATTTAATAAAATAATTATAACGATAGTAATTACCATATGAAAAATGCTTGGGAGCACTAATTAGTGCTCCCACTAATTAGGTGGCAGTGGGTTTCGCCATTAATGATGTGATGTTTTGGTTTTGGAGTTGTATTTTTTTAAATATATTTTTTGAAATGAAGGCAATAAAAAGATAAAATACATGACATTAAATGAAGATAATTTTATTATAATAAAAAGACATTAAATATATTTTTTTTTTTCAAATTTTTAAATTTTTTTCATTTTTTATATTTGCCTAGTTAAGAATAATATAAATATATAATTTTTTTTACAAATAGTTAAAAAAAGTCACACAGGACCAAAAAAAAATAAAAATAAAATAAAATTACAAAAAACATATATCTAAACAACACCTACACATTTAAAAAGAAAATTAATTAAAATTTATTAAAATAACAAATAATCACTAAAGTATGATCACTATAATTTGATAAAATAATTATAACGATAGTAATTACCATATACATAATATGGATAATGAGGGACATGGGCCTACAAAAATGGAAAAATTCATGTCGGGACGACTTTTCTGGCCATTCTTCTCCCTACTTTCCTTTCGCCGCCTTCAATTCGTGAACAGAGACAGAGACAGAGAGTGCTCGTTTATTAACAGTAAAATCACCAAAAATCTTCACAACCAAATTAGGGTTCTATCAACCAAATTAGCGATTCTGAGTTTCAGTTCTCTGAATTTGCTGAAATATGGAAACAAAAATTTCAGGGTTTTGGCTGGGTTGATTACTATTCATGAATGAATATTGTTATATGACAAAAAGACATTGGGAATTTGAAGACTGGAGAGAGAGAGAGAGAGAGAGAGAGAGAGGCGATGGAGCTCAAAGGGAAATTTGTGACACAGTTTAAAGTACGACAACAGCCTCGATTGACAACTTTGCTGCTATCAAAGCGCGCCAAACGCCAATCACTGGTTGTGCACAGCATATTTAGGTAAACCCTTGGATCCATATGTGTTTATAACAACTTTTATGCATTGAAGATGAATGGTCTGTTTATAATCTTTGACAGTATGTTTTGGCTATGAACACCATGATTGTTGAGCTGTGAATTGAATTGTGATTTTGTGAATTTTGTCTTGCAAGTCTATGGGAACAATAAATATTTGCATAAGTGAATGTGTCTGAGCTGCATGTTGTTTTCCACTCTAGAATCTTTTGCCTACTTAGAATGTTTTCAAATGTGGAGGCTCACTTTTATTACTGTTATTTACTTTTGTCAAGTTCTTGGGACTACTTTTAAATTTACAAAAATTTTCAAATAATTGGTTGTGATTCAGTCCTAATTAAGGGCATCTCCAATCCTTAACCCTTATTTTTTATTCAAATTTAAATTTGATGAAAAGGTGCTAAAAAAACCATCTCCAATCCATTCATTGATTGTTCATCAAATCAATGGGGAGACATTTTTTCATGAAATTGAGAATTCATCAAATTATAATTTGCTAAAAATTTAAAAAGATGAAACATTTGGAGATGATTGTTTTTCATCAAATTTGATGAAAATAGAAATTTGGGATAAGAGGGTTTGACAAGATTTTGATGAAAGGATTGGAATAGTTCTTATCAAATCAAATTTTTTACTCAAATTTGGAATCAAATTAGATGAAAAAATTGATGAAGTGTTGGAGATGCTCTAACGTCCCCATCAGCGGTGTTTCTGAAAATCCATTGACAACCAGAAAGCCAAAAGTGTTTTCCCTGCAAAATCTTAGGCAAACTAAAGACTAAGTCTGTGCTTCCATCCTTTTAGCTGTTTCTAGGTATTGACAATGGAGAGTAGAGACTAGAGATTAGTTTTTGGTGATTGTCCCTTGACCAACAACAATGCTCTTTAATGACTTACATGATGAACTACACCGTTTTTATGTTGTTAATTTGGCTGAAATGTCCTGCCAAGCCCACCCCATTATGCAACTGATGGATAAGGCTTTTACACGAGGACTCTTGAATGAAGACGTTATATGAATGTTTCTCTTGGACTGAATAAGTAGCATTGAAATGATGCCTCTTTCTGTCAGCTTTGGATACTTGATGTTCATAGTGAATGGGATTTTTGCATCCTTCAATCCTTTAAAAAACTGTCAGGGTATTTATTTATCAAAAAAATAAAATAAAATAAATAAATAAAATAAAAAACTGTTAGGGCACAAACTTGATTTTATGACAATCGTCACAATAGTGCTCTTAGTTCATTCCAAAGTTCCAAACTGTGTCTATGATTGTACAGTCAAGGTTTATTGAGCAAATATGATGAGACTTGGGTGGAGCTAAATTGTACCTGACTACATTTTGTAATCATTCACAGTGGAGGACAAACCATTTGGCTTGGATGGCTTTCTTCTTCCTCCTCAAATGTTTTATACTTGATCCAACTACTCGGTTTTCAATTCTAACTTAATTGACCGTTATCAATGTCAGTGAAGTTAAATTCCTTTTCCCCAACCAAAGATAATGTAGAGTGTAAGGCATGGAAGACCACCTCAGTCTTATTTATTTGTAGGACTTTGGGTTGTCGCTATTCTGTGGAAAACTATCTAATGCAGGCTGCAGCACATGGAGACCTGCAGGAAAGGGAAGGAGAAGAGAAGAGAAGGAAATAGATAAACCGAGCCAATATAGTAGAGGAGAGAGAAGAGGGAAAGAGGCAAAAGAAGAGAATGGTTAAAGAACATCGGGAGGAGCAGTGCAGAGTGAGAGTGAGGCAGGCCAAGAAAAGTAAATATTTCCAAATTACGCCAATAAACTCTAACAATTCAATAAACTATATAGACAAACACAAATAAAGGACCAATCCAAAAGGAAACAAATAATAATTAAATAAAATACTAAAGTAGGAAACTAATATTAATTTCCTAATTGAACTTGAACTCCTAAGTAAGCTAAATTCTCGGTGATTGCCTCCTTCATGATCCCGTTAACTGTCCCTTTAATATTTGCTGTCATAGTTACATGCTCCTTATGCTCCATGATCATGTTATGTGAACTTAACATATGGCTGTTTATTATGTTCTTCGTCATGGACTAGGATTATCTGATTAGGGGGTCACTTCAATTAGATGACCAATATTATTACTCGTTTTCTACATTATTAGGACAACACCTTTCTACTTGCATCTCCTGTTTCGGTCAAAATTGTTACCCACCACACCAAAGTTGCTTTGTTTAGCTTGATCATGACAATCTTAAAGAAGCACATCTGAGGTCAACAACCATAGAATAACTTCTTAATCTATTCATTTCTGTGATTCTAATTGATTGACCTTTTGAGGCTTTATTTATATGAAAGGTAAAAGCTTTGGTTGCGTTTGGTTTACTTTTAGAATCGTGATTCTAATCAAAAACTTTCAGAACTATTTTCAAAATTCATAACCAAACACACAACTCAAAACTCAATTCAAAAATTATTTTCAAAACTCATAACCAAGCACACAACTTAAAACTCAATTCAAAACTTATAATCAAACTCTTTTCAAAACTCTTTTTAAACTCCATTTAAAAAATAAAATTCAAAAAAAATAATTTTTTTATTTTGTTTTTTAAAATTATTTTTTATTTTATATTTTATTTCAAAAAATATTTTGTTTATTTTTATTTTTGAAGACAAATATTTTTATTCTTTTATTTTTTCAAAAATATTTTTTGTTGTTTTTTTAAGTATTAGCCAAATAATTTGTTATGCTTTAGATATATATGGGCGATCCAAAAAATTTTAGAATTTAAAAAAAAAATTAAATATTTAAAAAAAAGTTAAAAAATATTTAATTTTTTTTAAAAAATATTTAAAATATTTATAAAATAAAATAAAATATTTAAAGTAAAAATTTCTATACTTAAAATTAAAAAAAAATGAAATTTTCTTAAACATTTTTACATATTAAAAAAATCCAAAAAATTTAAAAATACAACTCAAATTTTTTTTCAAAATTCAAAACTCAAAACTCTTTTCAAAACTCATAACTAAACAAATCTTTTCAAGACTCAAAACACAACACCACACACAAATCATGATTCTAAAACTAAACCAAACGGAGCCTTTTTGTTCGATTATCCAATCTCTATCGCAATTCTTATACAACCTCATTGTCAAAGGGACAAAGGTGAAAAGATTGAGAAGTGAAAACAAAGAGGAAGACACAAAACCGAAGGAAATGTGGAATATGTCTTGTAGTGTTACTATTTAGTCTGTGTTTATCAATTAGAAAATTCAGTAATCTTGTATAGTAATTTAGGAACAAGTCTATATATATAAGAAAATGGGGTTGATTTGCTTCTACTCCAAAGAAGGAAATATTTGTACTTTGACTGCTAATAAAATTCTCGTCATAGTAAAGACTCCAATAAAAAAACTCAATTAATTAGTTGGAATAATGACCTATGGGCCACTATTACAGCCTACCAAAATACTGTTCTCTTAAAACTTGAACTTGATAAAACAAGAATAAAACTATGGCAACAATAAACAACTATAGAAGACATCAAATTAAGACTAAAAATGAAACAAGCATTCACTTAAGCATATTTCATGTGAAATTCCATATTTTCTCCCTTTTTGGTCACCCTCCTTAAAATTTCTGCAATGGTTGTTTTGAACAGAAAAAAGGTCAAGATCAAGAAGTTGACAGTCAAAAGTGTAATACATGATTATATTGATGCCTTTTGATTTTGTGCACGTGCCAGCAATTATGCTTGGAATGGGCCAGACAGTAGAGATTAAAATGAAGGGTGACTTATTTTCCTACAAAAAAGAGATTGATGTGAAGTTAACTAGTTTTAAGTTATATAGCTAGTATGAGAAACCTGAATATTCTCTCATCCCACTTTATTTTAATTTTTCATTCGTGTACAAATCTTCCAGGGAGACTTTTCCTGTTTCAAATTCTAGGTGGAAAACTCTTGAAGTGCATTGTGATAATAACCAAAGCATCTGGCAACCAGCTGTTTCCAAGAATGATAGCTCAAAACCGCCAGAACTCTCTTTCAACCGGTTACAACTCAGTGACCAGGAATATAATGGCCTACAAAGGCGAAATTTTGGCCGGTTTGTTGCCCGTGAAGCTGTACTAGATGAAGAATATTGGGTTGGTATTGACCGTTCTTGTGTACTTTCCATTGGAGATTTATGTCTTTTCCTTCATTTATTTTTTTGAAAGTACTTCAGTTTAGGTTCCATGTCTGACTTCACATTGCAGACAGCAGCATGGCTTCGAGCAGAAGCTCATTGGGAATCTTTATCATGTATGAGGTTAGTACCCTGCTTCCATTTTGAATTTTATACTTCTGATTCTATGAACTCACACACACTCGCTCAGACATGCAGATGTTTACACCTATGAAGCATGGATACTTCGACAAACATGTCGTACTTGTACCGGGTATTTACTGGCATATGATACTTCGTATAGTACCTCTGCATACGTATCGGGTGCACAAAACATGTACTCAAATTTTTTCTTCTTAATGTTTGGCGTACCCAGACTTACCTAGGTATATACCCATGCTGTACCGTACCTTAATCGAAACAATATTTTCTTCTACTACAGAGATAAAGACTTCTTTTTTATTTATAGTTTTATGCTTGGCATGATTTTAAAATTAAGTTATTTAATATAATGACATTTAATTTTTATTTATATCGTTACTTTTGGTATTAAATATTAATTGCAGGTTGAATCTTAACAAATTAAATCATTTAGTTAATTTTTGCATTACTCCAAATTAAAAATAAATATTTTTTTGTGAACGTAATAAGCCCAACTTGTATCCGTACCCGTACCTTACTTTTTTTAGATTTTACGGTATTGACGTACCCGTATCGTACAAGTACCCGTACCCGTGCTTCATAGGTTTACACCCAGGTACCAAATCTTACTCTATACATATAGACTTTGATTTCAGTTCAGTGTATTAATTATGACAAGTTATCATTTTCCAGGCATGTTGATAGTTATAAAAGAAAGTATGCTGAACAGGTAAGTTGTGATTGAACAGTCCTTTTATCTTTGACCTGTGGTGGGTTAAAGTGTAGGAATCACAAATTGAAAAAAATATATAAGAAACTATGGGGCTTATCATTTTAACAATTTTTGAAATATCATCCTGAACTTTTCTCTGTCCATGACTTATTTGTCTTAATGAAGCTTACCAAAGACTCAAATTACAAGCATTATGGAGTTAGGAAAGTGGAGAAGACAGGCAATGTGAGCTGCAACCTCCTGCCTTGATTATAATACCCTGATCTATGAATCGGATGTAGGGTCCTTTAATTTTTAGCACCAAAATAAGGGTTTAGATTTAGGTTTAGCTATGGAAAAGTGATTATGGATGGTTGGAACAGGTTAGTTAAGGGCTTTGGAGTTCAATTTAAGAAATTTTCTTTTGGATAAAAAAGAGAAATTATAATATCATGAAGGACACCAAGGGAGCATCACCCTGTACAAAGCATCAAGGAAACAAACAAAACCCTCAAGGCAAACTATATATCCTCACCAAAATGTAACTCCCCCAAAAAAATCTATGAACAAGAAGGAAGACTCACAAAACTCTCCCTTCAACCAAAATTAAATAGCTCTCGAAATATTTAACCCCTGCCTATGTATCGGCAACTGTACATCTTTAAATGTTCTTCTATTTCTCTCTCCAAATGCACCACATTAAACACAAGGGAACACTCATCGAACCTTCTTCACTTTCTTCTGCTGACAGCCAAAGTCCCTATACTCAAAGAGATCAAACACGGTCAAGCATATCATCAACACCCACCAAACACCAAAGATGCAAAACAACATACTCACAAATCCCTTGCCACCTCACAATGAAGCAAAAGATGATGAACTGAATCCTCGAACTTTTTGCACATGCGGCTTTAATTAGGCAAGAGAAAACCTCTCCTGCCCATATTATTGGGCATGATTTGCCGATCAAGGCAATTATTTTATGCTTAACCACAGGTTATGTAAATTTGCTGCTACCTCAAAATGGACCTGCCTCTCCAAATTTCCTTTCCAAATATCCAATGAACAAACCAACATTCACATGCACCAAAAAATAAAAAGGAAAAAAAAGATCATGACACCGATCTTCATATCTTGCTAAGATTCTGGTCATTGCAGTTATATTTCATCTGTCTCTCTCTCTCTCTCTCGTGCATATTACAGGAGTTCTATGCTTTGAAGCGAAGATGTATGGGGCTGCATGGAAATTCTCTCAAGTGCTCTTGTTTTGTTGCAGTATGTCCAGTACTCTTACACAAGTGACTCATGATGAGTCTTCTGTTCTTTTTTCTTTTTACGGCTATTGATGCTTTAAATTGTTTTCAATTGCAAATTATCTTCAGTTGGTTGCCTGATGTAGTTCTTGACTTAGTCTATCAAATTGTTGTGTTCTTTAGTTTTTAAGTTCTGTTTTGTTTTTGTCTACCAAGTTTCATTGTTATGCTTCAAAATTTGTTGTAAATGATAATCTGAGGTATTTTTGTGTAAAAGAATTCATGTTACATTAAATTCCAATACTATTTTGAAGATGGCCAATGTTCTGCTTCCCTTTCTGGAAGTAACTTCTCTACTGTGACAAACTCTTCTAGTCTAGCTTAATGAAATCCATCTGCTGTCTCTTAAAAAAAACAAATTTTGCTTCAATTGAATGTTATTCACATAATATTGTGTAACAATTTTATATATGGCTTTCTTTTTTGATCACCAATAGAAGAAAAATATTGTTAAAATAGAAAATGGAAAGTGTAAAGAGAAAGTAGAGGACAAGGTATCCTTCAAAAAATAGAAGAGATTAAGGCTTCATTTGGGAACAGACTATTTTAGTAACTTTTTGGTTTTTTGACTAAAATATGAGGTAAAAAAAATTAATATGTTTGGAATGACTTTTTGATTTTTGAAGAAAAGATGTGAAAAAAGTAAAGAGAAAATGGAATCTTTGACTTTTTTGTATAGGTTATAGGCCTTTTGGTTTTTTTAGTAACTTTTTAGCTTATAGGCTAAAAGTGTTGTATGCCAAACGACGCCTAAAACGAAATTACATCTGACAGACTGCCCTACTAATAAGAAACAAAGGAAATCTTATAAGAAGCATGGACACGGACATGTTGACATGTCAATTTTCAAAAAATGCAAGACATGGCATGTGGAGGACACACAAAACATGTGGTTTTATGTATTTATTATATGTTATATATATGAATATTTCATTCAAAGATTATAAAAATGCAACATAACACTAATTTCTAAAGTTTAAACGAAGAGAGATTAATAAGAATAAATCTATATATATTATCATCGTATCCGCCAAGTTATTTTGTTCAAAATTATAATGTATTTCTAAGCAATGGACATGTGTGTTCTTGAAGTGTCCAAAAAATGTTTGGGTTTAAAAATAGTGACACATTTGGATGTGTGTCCAACACACGGTGAGAAGTGTCTGATGGATGTTGGTGTGAACGTGGACACAACATGGACATGCCCCTTCTTAGAAACGCCCTTGGTTCTTAGGAATTTAAAGCCGAAACTGGCACTCAAAAGGAAGTCAAATAACACAAACTATTTCTGAAACCCCACATTATCTGATTTATATTCTAAGTTTCTTGCATCTCTCTCAAGCCACAACACTCACAACACTGCACAAGCCCACAAAGCTCTTGATTTTCGTATTTAAGACAAAGCGACTAAAGGGAGTAGTGAACAATTGATCAATGGAAGATGGAATCTGCCAATTAATTATTGCCAACTGGATTAATCTCAAGCACTAAGTCATAGCCACTAAGCAGTGGGAAAAAAAAGGTGGTCAATACACTTTGCACATTACACACCACTGTGGAGACAAATAGCAACTAGGACTTCTCCTCTGAAGTCTGTACTATATCATTGTTTTGATTTTCTTATGAACTATGGATCACACAAAAACTTCAACTTTAAGGGGCACATAGGCAATCCAAATCACTCTGTGGAGCTTAAAAATAGGAATATTAGGATCATCAATTATGGAATTAAAAAGATATTTACAAGAAAAAAATTCTTGAAGACTGAATGGACCACACTTTTATCAATGGCCTCCCTTTTCAACTGAACAACGTTAAGAATAGACATCAAGGAAACTAATTCATCTTTCTCTCGATCATAAGGTTTGTACAAAAATTGAAGTCCCAAGAGACCGGAAAGGAGTAGGAAGAAACCATAGAAGTAATAGGAGCACCATGAGAACGAGATAAATGATACAACTAGAATATAAATGAGCAAAAGAATTCCCACCCCTCCAATCATCTTCCCAGATATGAACATTCTCCTCATTACCCACAATGATCCTCATATCATGTCTAGAGAAAAGAGAGTTCATGAGATATAATATAAATTTTCCAGTAGATCGAGAGTTTCCCCCATTAATTTGATGAGAGTCCCAGCCATTTTCATGAATCACATATTTACTTTTAATAACAACATGCCACAAAGAATCACACGCGAAGGGAAATCTCCACAACCATTACCAAGCAAAGTAGTATTTTTAGCAACTATATTCTCTAACTGAAGACCCTCTTTATTCAAAGCATCTGGGGTCAAAACATAAATGCATGGAGTAGAACAAGGACAAATTTTTCAAAAACAACTTGCAATTGGCAAATAAATTCAAATTAATGTGGGTTGAGGAATTTTGTTTTCCAACCACATGCATACTGTAACCCCTACATATGTGCATCAACCCAAGATGTTGCAGAAGTTTTAATACCTCACTGCTTGTTGCGTGAATTTCACTTATAGCATTTACTGCATCTTGCAAGTGCTCATATTCTAATTTATATATGGATATTTATACTTACCATCATGATGCTCTGCTGGTTTGAAGATTTGTCACTGGCATTTGTTCTTCTCAACATTCAGGTTAAGAAGGAAGATAAAAACATAAGAAGAACTGTCATAAACAGTGTTGTGGGAACTCTAGACCTTAGCATCCGGCAATTCTTGAGTGGGGAAACATACCCAGGGGTATGTAACTGATTGTATCTTAACTCATTTCTTGCAAACTTTAGAATGGCATGCTTGGTTAAGATGTAAATATTTTATAATGATTTACTTTTCTTGATCCATATCATAGATTCTTAGGGAAGATCCCAGTTGCAATGAGCATCCTAAGAAAGGTGCCAAAGGCCCTGAAGTCTCTATCTGATTCCCACATTTTGTTTCCTTATATATTAGTTATTTATGTATTTTGGGTTTCAACATATTTACCTTAAGAAAAAGGTTTTGCTTTTTGGCTTTCCCTCTTCCCTCCCTCTCGCTTTCAGAGTATAAGCAGCCTATTAGTGGGCTCCCTTGTATGGATCCTATATCACCTTGAACCCATTGGATTTTGTTTTCAGGAGGTAAAAAGACCGTCTGCTATCTTGGCAAGTCGAAAGTATGCTTATGTTGCAAATGTTTGTGTTTCAAAGTTTGCTCGGCGTCAGGCAATAGCTTCAAATATGTTATATTTGGCCATTGATGCTGCCGCCTTAGCAGGTACTAGGTTTTGACTTTCAAAAATTTAAGGGTAGTTTTCTTTTCTCCTAATGTCATTTTAATTCTCTTTTTTCTCCTTTTTGGGTATCCCAACAGGTATGAAGCAACTATTTGTTCATGTAAATGCAGACAACAAGCCTGCCCAAGAATTGTACAAAAAAACTGGCTTTAAGGTTTGGCATCTGTTCAACTCATATTTTGGTTGAAGAGACCTGAAATGTTACTAGATATTTTTAGTATCTGATTTATATTCTGTTTGGCTTTGCATGCATCACCAAGCATTCTTATTCACATGCCTTTCCGTTAAGTGTTTGAGATAAAAAAATTTTTGGCATCAGTAAGATAATCCTTTGAATGTTTTAAGTGCAAAAGAGCTATATTTGTCAATTTTATTATTATTTTTTTTTTCCTTTTATGTTTGGTTCTCTCCTGATGGTTATCTCAGATTCTTTGCACTTTCATTTTCATATTGATTATTCTGTTTGGCTTTGCATGCAATACCAAGCATTCTTATTCACATGCCTTTCCGTTAAGTGTTTGAGATAAAAAAAATTTTGGCATCAGTAAGATAATCCTTTGAATGTTTTAAGTGCAAAAGAGCTATATTTGTCAATTTTATTATTATTTTTTTTTTCCTTTTATGTTTGGTTCTCTCCTGATGGTTATCTCAGATTCTTTGCACTTTCATTTTCATATTGATTTTTTCCTTCTATAGACAGTTTATCTCTCTTGGACTCTGGATCAGTTGCCCTGCTGGTGTTGCTTTCAATATTTTCTGTCATGAGCTTTTTTTCTGTCAAAGACAATCCTAATTCTTTTGAAATACTTGTCAGAATTTTAAAGTTCATTCATCATAAATCTTCTTAAAGAATGTCAGACATAATCTCTGATGTCAAATAGAACCCTTCATACAGTTCACAACAAATAATTAAATAGAACCCTTTATATAAAATCTTCAAATTGACCTATTTGCTGCCTTAACAGACCACTAAAGGACATGTTTTGCAATGTTAAGAATTGCTATGTTTGTATAAACTACAGCCAGTTAAATTAATACCCTGTGAGAATATGAACAATAGAAGGTTCAGTAAGTTACATTTGCAGCACCTTTATGCATTAAATTGTACACTTTGTTACTATTTTTGATTTTATGTTTATGTAATCTTTCTAGTGTTTTGCAATTTCATGTGGAGATTTTCAAGAGGTCCTAAACACCTTCAAAACAAAACTGAGATTTCAATTCCTTTGCAATTGATCTTAAAATATTAAACTAATCTTAAAATTTGCCACTTCTGAGCCGGAGTTGAATATTTTCAATATTTTCTTTAAGGATGAAAAAAATAAAGTATTTACTTCTTGCAATGTAGCACTCTTATTGCGTGTTTGTGTTCAGCAGACATATATATATATATATATATTTTAATATGTATTCATGTTCGGCTATATCCTTGATGGGTTGTTCATTTCACCTTTGCAGATTATCGAAGCTGCATCATCTCCTCTGTTAGAAGATCAGAGGCTACTAATGTCCATGGAATTGTAAGTAAGATATGACCAAGTGCTGGTTCACTTCCAACATGAAGAGTGAAATTAAATTTTACTGTTTATATACACACAATATATAATACATGTGTATTCATTCTGGTATCATCCTGTTGTTTTCTGCATGTATGCTTGGCTTGTCCAGTTAAGTTGTAAGGGCATACAAATATTGTAAATCAATTATTATATAATGTATAGTTTGTGCTGTTTTCAGGATCCTTACAAAATGTAGAATGGGATTGACATTTTTTCTCTTTCAAACCAAAACAAAAAAATGATACCTACTTTCCACAAGGATTATATTCAGTTTACTACTAAAAACTGTCTAATAGATGTCAGAAGATGCACAATGATTTTCTCAGCAAATGATTCATTTATTTCTAAATATAAAGGAATGAATGTTTGATTTGATATATACTTTTAAATCTTACAAAAATAACACATTCGCACATCCACATCAAGGCAAAGGAGTCTTTTGGGTAAGCAAAGGCAAAGGAGTTCAAATCCACACAGAGCACACTAGAGGGCCTAATTTCTAGAGAAATGTTGGAGACTTAAAAAGGTTCATAGCGCAACACACAATCGATGTGGAATACACTATTCTCTTTTATTTTAGTAAAAACCAGTCCCAATGCATGAGGCTCTAGCCATTATGGGGTTTGGAGAGGATTAGAAGTACATGTACACAACCTTACTGTAAGAGCTGTTTTTAGGTAACCGCTTGAGTGGTCATTTGGTTGCTCGAGCAGAGATTTGTAGCTCCCAGTATTTCGCAAGTTTGCAGGCGAGACCGCTCGAACAGTCCTTTTGCATTTTGGTACTTCGCTCAAGCAGTAGAAGTTTCGCTCGAGCGGTCATGTCAGGATAGCAGATTTAAAACTCGATCCAAATACATTTTTGACACACTTTTCTATCTCTTCTCTCTCTCTCTCTCTCTCCCCGTTTTTTCGAAAACCCTATCCTTAAAACTCTGGATTTCATCTATCAATAGCAAGAATCTATCGTTGTGTCTTCATCAAAGTTGTTGCCCTTGCCAAAGGCTACGATTTGAACCGATTAGGTCGCGTTATTTCAGAAGTTCATTGCGTGGATCTTCATCTCTCCCTCCACAACTTTGAGGTAGGAATATCTTTAGCCTTGTATATTTATATTTTGATCTAAATAAGTGTGAATCTTGTGATGTATAGTACTGTGGGAGCCGAATATTGGAAGTCGTAGAGATTCTGGAGAGTCGAACTGTAGTGACCCTCACCCCATCTTAGTCATGTTCATGTGCATTTGCACGTTTTGTTTTGTTCAGCTTGCATTTGTAGTTTTCAACTTGTTTTGCCTTAAGTAAGGTTTCCGTCTTGTTTTGTGCTTATGTAATTTGGCTTGCGTATTGTTTGTGTGTTCCGCCTCTTGCCCGGCGTGTAGCTGAGGTCTTGTTAAGCCTAGGTTGCACCTTTGAACCTCTTACACTTAGTACTATCTTGGAACCACTTTGTTTGACCTCCACCTCCACCTCCACCTCCACCTTGACATATTGACCGAGATGTCATCATTTAGGTCAAGGTGTACTCCATCGAGGCTGAGATATGAATCATCTAAGCCGAGATGTTACCATCTAGACATCCTTGATCCTTGCACCTAGTGGTCTTGTTCTGGACCGGTATAACCTAGGCCGAGATGTGGCACGTCTAGGCCAAGGTGTGGCACATTTAGACCATGCGTTATCCATCCCTGCCGAGATCATTGGGACCCCTCTTGCCGAAGCTCTGTCCTTAGCCGAGATCATTACCTGCCGGAGTGCTAATGCCACCTTGTTTGTTGAACACACTTTGTCATAATCTTGTCTTTTCACTCAGTCACCTTTTTGAGAAGAGCCAACCAGCCGATGCCACGTGTTCCAGCAGAGGGTTAAGTTAGTGAGTTGTTGAGAAACACATCATTTTGTATCATATCCTTGTCTTTTAGAGAGAGAGACTCTAGGAAGAGAATGAGGAGTTCTTAGAGAGGGAATAGATTTCCAAGCTTGATCTTCACACCTTGAGCCGTTAGATTCGTGTCTTGATGTTAGAATCTTGATCTACTCTTGTTGTTCTTATTGTTCATCTAGCTGCATTGCATGATCGAGCATGATTTGTAAGCCATGTATTGATTTAAAGTTTGGTTTTAGAAAGAGAAAGTGATATTCATGTGTTCTTGAATAAAAGCCTTGTTTGATCCGAATGCTTGCATCAAGATTCATGTTTTTGTGTTTGTTTTCATAAAATCTTCAAGTATGGGTACCCAGGTCCATGTTTTTGAACTCATCACATGAAATTCCAGATTTCGTAATAACAAGTTGTGATTAAGTATTCATGTTTTTCATGTTCTTCATGTTCTTCAGCAGAGGGAAATCCAGATTTTTCCGACTTCATTTCCTTGAATGTGGCCATCGGGACCACACCTTGGTAAGAAGGTGTGGGACCTCGGCCTAGACCTGGTTGGTGCCCATTATGTTTTCCGAGATGAGAAGCAGTGTTTTGTTTTGGTCCGACTTAGTTTTGAAGGAATGCCGAGATCATTTGCATTCATGTAAAGCTTGTTTGAGAGTGCATTCAATAGACTTTGCCATGTGTTTGTAGGACTTGGACTCTTGCTTTGACCCCAACGTTCGAAGAACTATGTGAGTGGTATTTTTAATAAAGCTATGTTATAACATTTGATAAAGCTTTGCCTTTCTTGTTTTGGAGAAGTATTTGTTAAGCATGAATGACTATTCTTATTTTGTGTATCAAGTATTAGCTTTGATTTTGACAACATTCTTGACAAGTCCGTACGTGCTAAGGGACTATAAGCATTTGTAGCACAAGTCCGTACGTGCTAAGGGACTATAAGTATTTGTAGCACAAGTTCATACGTGCTAGGGGACTCTAAACTTTTGTAGCACCTTTGTTAATGCCATCCCTTGTACTATATTGATGCTAGTAAGCATCCCTTGAAGTTTTGAAGACTTGTTAGATGGACTTGGTTCATCACTTGATTTCGTATTAGTTATGCTATGTATTGTATTGTTTAGAAAAGAGACCTCGGATATCATTCATGCAAACTCCTTTATTGATTATATCATTCACTGAGTATCCAAGCTCACTCTCTCTCTATATATATAGGTGATGAGTAGGACGGCGGTGATGCCTAGATACGTTTGGCATGATGTTTTGGATTCGTACTTTTGATAGCATCTTGAAGACTATGCTTCTTGGCTTGTGACTTATTGTATTTTGCATATGTCGGCTTGAGAAGCCTTTTGATCAAGATGTATTATGTATTTATTCATTTGTATTCAAGTTGTAAGACCTCGATATGATGTATGCCATTCATTTGATTTATGCACGGCTCTTATGGACTAATCAGAATTAAATTATTGCTTCTGCACATGTAAGCCCCATATGTATACTCTGTTTGTGTGTGAATCTTTCCAAGTTGGCCCTTGGCAATCTCGAATTACTGGCCATCATGGCACCATTCTACTAGGGGCGGAATGGGATCGTGACAGATTGGTATCAGAGCCTGAGTTTCTTATAGTACGTTATTCACACACTTTGAGTCATAAAGAGCTTAGGATTTCCCTTAGAAAGATATTAGGATTTGCATCATATTGCTTACTACTTGACAAGATGTGCATCATCTCGGCATAACTATTTGTTATTTGCATACGTGTTATTCGTTCATTTTGTTTTAAAGTCATATTTTGCATACTCTTAGCATCATGAGAAGGGGTAGACCTCCAGTTGGCCGAGATCATTCTGAAGACAGATTAGACAGACTAGAAAGGTTGGTCGAAGGTTTGGTCCGCGAGTTGATACAGCCTAGGCCACAGGATGCTAGTACTACCTCTACCCAGGCTGAGCAGACAAACAGCCGACATACAGTCCCACCTCCACCTCCACCTCCTCCAGTGCCGCAAGTGCCTCCACAACAAGCCTTATATGGAGACGGCACCATAGCCTTGATCAGAGAGTTCAAAAAGATGAAACCGTCGAGGTTCCAAGGGGGTATAGAGCCGATGAAAGCCGAAGCATGGGTCTTGGAAATGGAGAAGTTGTTTGAGATTTTTCCCAGTACTGATGCTCAGAAGGTGTCATTGGCAGTATTCACGTTAGATGACGACGCACGAAGATGGTGGATAATGGTCCGAAAAGGTAACCCAGGTTTGACTTGGGCTAGATTTTTGGAGTTGTTCTACAGCAAGCATTTCCCCCTTAGTGTCCGAGACCGCAAGACCACAGAGTTCCAGACTTTGACACAAGGCAACAAGACGGTGGCGGAATACGACCGTGCTTTTACCGAGTTGGCAAGATATGCGCCCCATATGGTCGATGACGAATATAGAAAAGCTAGGAAGTTTGAAAGTGGGCTACGTGGATTGATACAGGATCGAGTTAACATGCTTAACATGCCGACTTACGCCGGAGTGTTGGACAAAGCCATCCTAGCAGAAGCTAACCTAAACCGATACCAGAGTTCAGGAGAGAACCAGAAGAAGAGACAGAATTACGACAATCGTCGATGATCATTTGATGCTAGGAAGAAGACGAGCATAGGCAGTTCAAGCAACTCAAATCAGGGAGAAGATACTAAGCCGACGTGTGCAAGTTGTGGAAAGCCGCATTTCGGAGTTTGCCGTTGGGCATCAGGAGCTTGTTTTGAATGTGGTGAAATAGGTCATTGTGTGAAAGACTGTCCGATAGCAAAGGCAAATGATGGCAAGAAGGATGGGAACACTTCCAGCTCTGCACAGAAAAACAACGTTGGAAGAGCGCAGGCGAGGTAGGACAGAGTTTTTGCATTAGTACCAAGAGACACTCAGAGTGCCGAGACAGTAGTGTCAGGTACCCTTCCAATTTGCTCTCAAGATGCATACATATTGATTGATTCGGGTTCTAAGCATTCATTTGTATCTACTAAATTTGCTGAGAAGTTAAAGAGAGAATTGGAACCCCTAGGTTATATGTTATCTGTGTCTACTCCGT